TTTAAAAAAATTTTTTTTTAACGAGTGCGTGGGATTTTTTTTTTTCTCATACGATATTAAAAAAAAAAAAAGTAGAAAAAGTGGGGGGGGAACAAAATATTATTTTGGTAAAAAAGAAAAAAAAAAATTTGGGTGTCCCCCCCCCCAGCACAACCCATAATTTTTAATTTATTTTTTTTTTTAACAAACCCCCCCCCCCCCCCCCCCCCCCCGTACACACGAAGCCAGTAGGGAGCTTAAGCAACAACGACGGCGTCGGCAATGAAAAGATCAGTAAAAAAATGAAGTTGCGTCCTTTCAAACTTTATCGCGTCTATTTGGAACCGCTCAATTCGTCAAATGTAGGCGACTTTTCCTTGAGTTGAATTCTTTAGGACTTTATCCATGTTTAAATAGAGAAAGGAAAATTAGTCGTTGTATGTCCACGTCTTCCATAAAACGTCGCATTGGGAGGTTTCAAGTCGTACTCGTGTAGTGGACGTGAGAGAAATGTACTAATTAACAATTATTCCTCGAACTTGAATGGGCTCTGAGTCAATAGCCCATGAGGCCGAAGGCTGTATGGCCTATTAACTCAGAGGCCATGAGAGCGAGAGGAATATTTGTTTTTGTAAAATCCAACTAGTTGGTCAAAAATATCGAGAAAAAACAACTTTAGCCAGTAAGATGCGATTCAGCGGCCTTTGTTTTGGTTTTCAAAGCCGGCGCTTTTCACTACTAGTGGGCTATAACATATAGCCTAGTAGTAGCTCAACCAATCAGAACGCAGTATCGATAATAGACCACTGGTTGGATTTTACTAAAAAGCGTGATCACTTGCAAAGTAGTTGTTTTGGTCTTAAAACCAATTATTTTTTGACGTTGTTGTTGTCGTCGTTGTCGTAGTTGCTTAAGCTCCTTAGTGAACCCGGTCACCAAAACCGCTTCGTTGGAAACCGCTCTCCAGAGCGGTTTAAAGCCCCGTCCACAAGAATCCGAACATTCTTGAAACCGCATACGTTTTCATACGAATCCGGCTCCCGTCCATACGAAACTAGTGAATCCTCACACCGAAACCGCATATTTTTTAAATCGCTCTCCAGAATGCATATTTTTTGGATCTGACAGGTTTGGTGAATTTGTGTGAAGGACTGAAACCGGAAATTTTTGAAGTCAACCATGATATGAACTCTGGTCCAGTCTTAAAAGTGAAAGCTTTCAAGTTCAAAATGGTGGAAGACAATGTTCTGCTTGCATACTTGCTGGCTCATATCGCAAGTCTCATTGCAAGCATTGAAATCAATTTTGTTATTTTGGCGACAACAATTAGCCATTTCATCCAGATTGTGGAATCTTTTAGTTCGAGACCAAGGAATGCAAAACGTCTTGGTTTATGCTGGCTGCTTATTTTTCTTTTCATCTGTCGGAACATTCTTCTCTGTGGCATGTACGTAAATACAGTGTAGTTCAGTTTTACATGAGAGTAGTATAGTAGGGATAAAAGTATCCTCTTTTTGCGGTGCAATCTTTTTAACTTGACATCATCGGCGTTACAGTGCGGACACTCACACCGGGACACTTGGAAGAAGACGTTTTCTGAAAACACATATTTTTCAAGTTTTTTTGAAAACGGACCAATAAAATTCAAGTATTCAACAATGCAAACATTGAAAACTTTAATTGACTACTAAAAAAGTGAACCATTATTTAATGCTTTAGGTGGTTAATGAACACGAAGGTGAATGGTAATGCAAAAAATATTACAAATCAAGAGCTAAAGAATTATTTGTTAGAAAATGGAGCTAATAACAACTGTTTTGTTGCTAGTTTAGTTTGCTGTGTAACATCTAATATTGCTTTCTCGTTTCTTTTAAACCACAGGAGGAACACAGGCTCGGTATCTTTGGAGCAGCAGCGCTTTTTTATTTAGTATTGTAAATCCAGCTGGCCTTGGTCCTGTCAAACTCGAGTTAAAACCAGAAAAATACGAAAAGGCGCTAAAATACGATCCCCAGTCCGGACCAGTGTTTGGAGAAAATGACTTGCACATCGGAAACTATGCTGATGTGTCAGCGGTTTCATTCAGCGACCTTGGCCATGCGTATAAACTTCCAACTGACTCGTTTGAAGCAGGATCAGTAGACGCCAAAACATTTTTGGCCGGGAGCTATAGATTTATTCCAGATAACATCGAGGTCTTTTATTACCAAGGTATCCACAGTGTTTTTATTGGTCGATATCAATTCCCTCTACTGCATTGGCCATTTTCACACTATAGACGGAGACGGATAATCCTCTTCAAAATCCGTCAAAATTGATGGAAAAACAAAATGGTAATGTCAGGCGGATTGTCCATCCAAAGTTAAGATCATTCTATTTTCAAATTAAGACGTAATATCCGGTCTGACGCGAATTATCCAATGGATAACCCGTCTCCGACGGATAATCGGTCTCTAATGTGAATACGGCCATTCTATAGTACCAGAAACTCATTCATTTCTGATAGTACCCAGCAAAAGAATCCAAAATAATCTGACAGACGTTCAAGGCTGAAGAAGTTCAAAATGAATTCATAAAACATTAATTTTCGTTATCCGTGGCGTAAAAGAATTAGATGCGTCTTCTTCCCTTTGTTTATTCTTTAAAAAGACGTTATCTCACCTCCTCTTTTTCATAAAAGCCGGCGCTTTTCGCTACTAGTGGGCTATAACATATAGCCTAGTAGTAGCTCAACCAATCAGAACGCAGCATTGATAATAGACCACTAGTTGGATTTCACTAAAAAGCGTGATCACTTGCAAAGTAGTTGTTTTGGTCTTAAAACCAATTATTTTTTGACATTGTTGTTGTCGTCGTTTGTCGTAGTTGCTTAAGCTCCTTAGTGAACCAGGTCACCAAAACCGCTTCGTTTGAAACCGCTCTCCAGAGCGGTTTAAAGCCCCGTCCACACGAATCCGAACATTCTTGAAACCGCATACGTTTTCATACGAATCGGGCTCCCGTCCATACGAAACTAGTGAATCCGCACACCGAAACCGCAGATTTCTGAAATCTCTCTCCAGAATGGATTTTTCTGGATCTGACAGGTTTGGTGAATTCGTGTGAAGGACTGAAACCGGATATTTTTGAAGTCGCTCTCCAGAATGGATTTTTCTGGATCTGACAGGTTTGGTGAATTCGTTTGAAGGACTGAAACCGGATATTTTTGAAGTCGCTCTCCAGAATGGATTTTTCTGGATCTGACAGGTTTGGTGAATTCGTTTGAAGGACTGAAACTGGATATTTTTGAAGTCGCTCTCCAGAATGGATTTTTCTGGATCTGACAGGTTTGGTGAATTCGTTTGAAGGACTGAAACTGGATATTTTTGAAGTCAACCATGGTATGAACTCTGGTCCAGTCGTAAAAATGAAAACTTTCGAGTTCAAAATGGTGGAAGACAATGTTCTGCTTGCATACTTGCTGGCTCATATCGCTAGTCTCATTGCAAGCATTGAAATTTTGGCGACAACCATTAGCCATTTCATCCAGATTGTGGAATCTTTTAGTTCGAGACCAAGGCATGCAAAACGTCTTGGTTTATGCTGGCTGCTTATTTTTCTTTCCATCGGTCGGAACATTCTTCTCCGTGGCATATACGTAAATACAGTGTAGTTCAGTTTTACATGAGAGTAGTATAGTAGGGATAAAACTATCCTCTTTTTGCGGTGCAATCTTTTTAACTTGACATCATCGGCGTTAAAGTGCGGACACTCACACCGGGACACTTGTAAGAAGACGTTTTGTGAAAACACAAATTTCTCAAGTTTTTTTTGAAAACAGACCAATAAAATTCAAGTGTTCAGCTATCCAAACTTTGAAAACTTTAAATGACTACTAAAAAAGTGAACCTTTATTTAATGCTTTAGGCGGTCAATGAACACGAAGGTGAATGGTAATGAAAAAAAATATTACAAATCAAGAGCTAAAGAATTATTCATTAGAAAATGGAGCTAATAACAACTGTTTTGTCGCTAGTTCAGTTTGCTCGTGTAATATCTAATAGTGCTTTCTCGTTTCTTTTAAACCACAGGAGGAACTCAGGCTCGGTATCTTTGGAGCAGCAGCGCTTTTTTATTTAGTATTGTAAATCCAGCTGGCCTTGGTCCTGTCAAACTCGAGATAAAACCAGAAAAATACGAAAAGGCACTAAAATACGATCCGCAGTCCGGACCAGTGTTTGGAGAAAATGACTTGCACATCGGAAACTACGCTGATGAGTCAGCAGTTTCATTCAGCGACCTTGGCCATGCGTATAAACTTCCAACTGACTCGTTTGAAGCAGGGTCAGTAGACGCCAGAACATTTTTTGCCGGGAGCTATAGATTTATTCCAGATAACATCGAGGTCTTTTATTACCAAGGTATCCACAGTGTTTGTATTGGTCGATATCCATTCCTTCTACTGCAT